TTTAGGACACTGACACGTGGACAGGAGGAGCAATGGATCAAACCGCCAACCCTGTGATTATCGGACGACCTGCACTACCTGCCGGGCCCCAGGACAGCACGGGTCGTCCCCTGCACTTTACTGCTATATAACTCAACACATCAGTTGTGCTCACCAAAGTAATTGAGATGAGATGTTGTAGTTTTGTCATTATTGGTTTCCAACCTGTCTGCGTGGTCTTTGCCCCGTTGGACCTATTATTATGAAATCGCAGCAAGTAATTTGGTCAGTATAATGTCATCATAACTAAATAAAAATAAAACCCAAGTTGTTATAAACCGTAGATTTCCTTTAAAAACCTTGTTGATTTTGCACAATATCTCTTTTTTTTTCTTTGAGAGCTAGACTGATAATTCAGCTGAGCCGATACATCCTTAATATTAGTGTATTACAGATTTATTGAGTCAGAGTCAGTGTCAGACAGAAATATCCATCATGTGTTTGAAATTGCATCGAAACACTGTCACCATCAGGTTGTTTGTCCAGCAGAGAGCACAGACCTTTATATGTCAACTGAAAAATATCTTGCTGGTAAAAAACAAGTGTAACTAACGCTCATCAAAAATGTTTGTTTAAGTCGTGTGTTTATATTTAAAAAAAAACATAGTGTTATTATTTTCAAAACTGTATCCAATATCCACTAATTTATGTTGAGCTCTCATTTTCACACTGTCAAGACAATGCTAGCTAGCCTCCTTCTGCTCAGCTGTATATGCTACGCTACATTAGCAAGCAAGAAGTATTACCAGAATTATCCAGGTTACACTGGATACCAATTGTATTTGACAATTATTCGTTTCAATTATTAAATTAAGTAAAATAAAAAGTCTAAGCCGATTACAAGCAGATGGTTGTCATGACTTTACAGCAGACTCTGAACTGATCTGCGCTCCTTCAACTTCTGTGTGAAGAGTTGAAAGAAGTTGAAGAAGCGAAAACACAGAGAGGAACAAGAGGAAGAAAAGGTCGGCGGCCGCAGACTCGCACTGCTCACCAAGAAGGAAAAGAGTGGCCATTGTCACAGGAGGAGAGATGAAACCATGACAACCGTCCCCACTGTTGGCCAACACTGAAAATGAGCGCTGTATGGAGCCTGGGAAACCAGTGTAAAAGAAGGAGTACTTCACCCCCCCCACACACACACACTCTCACACACATGAAGACACACTGACTGATTGTTCAGAATCAGCACAGCCTCTCGCCATTCAGCCTCAACCAGCAGACGCACACCATGAAGGCATTGTTCCAACTGCCGTCTCATAAGTGGGGACAGAAAAGCAAACCATCAGAGTGGGATTTAAAAATCTACAAAGATGAACCTGCAGTAGATGTTCAAACTAGCCTCTCTGCGGTAAAGCTAAAAGCTCCAAGTGCAGTTGCAGCCACTTTGCTTTAGATGAAGACACAGTTGTTTCCTGTGGTTAAAAATAACTTAATCACTAATGAAAATAGTTGTTTATTAATTTTCTGTCGAAACAACTATTCAATTAATCATTTTAGGCATTTTAGATAACTTTATTTGCTGGTAACGGGTATGCTGCATATCCAATCTCCAAAAAAGAACGTGTCCTTAGCACCAGAATTGTCCTTTAATAAGGTAACAGAATATTTCAGGATCTCAACACAGCTATTTAAACATTAGTGAGACATAATCATATTTTAAGCAGATCCTGACATTTAATTAACATTTTTATGAGCTGGAATTACCTTTGATGTAATTCAGCTATGCAGTGACTGTTGCTCCATTGCGTATTAATAAAGTGTATCATGGTCAAAGAGAACAAGAAGCATTAGTCCACTCCCTCAGAGATCCCCAGTGTTTCCCACCAACACACACACAGTAACAAAGAGCGTGGGCTTGCCCTACACTTGTGGAGGAGGCTTAATGATATACGGGCTTGCCTGTCTGCCAGCTCAGCACCGGAGCCTTCGATTCACCAACAGCCGTCAACAAGCAGAGTATCAGTGCTCAGCTTTCACTACAGCCGCCTCTCCACACCACCAACACAAAAACACAGCTCTGCACTTGATTTCTCTACATGCATATGCACTTACACCACATTCACAAGCTGCACAAACGCTCACAGAGTCGGTGTGAGCATCGGAGAACACCAGCGTTAACGGTTGTGGAGTCGCAGTCGGAGAAGATGCTGAAGGACCTGAGCCTCAAACGAGGGTCCGACTGGAAGGTCTGAAGGTCTGAACTTCTCCAGCTCGGAAAAGCAGAGGAAGAAACATGGATGATACCAACTTTTAATCTGTTGAACGTAGAACCTAGCGAATGTTACATTTGGGGCCATTTTCTAGCTGGTGAGTGTAAGGCTAGCACGAACAATTATTTTCATTAATGGATTAATGTGGTGAAACTTTTCCAATTAATAGATCAAGTGCTGAGTCTGGGTGATAATAAAGAATGATACTGTAATGTGAGGTAGATTATTTCACAATAGAGAAGTTGTAAATGATACATCAGGTGTCAAAATTGCCACCGATTGATTTGAACTGAAGTGATTAATAGTCGCAGCACAGCTGATAACTAGACTGAATTGGCGTTTTGTTCCACCTCATTATTCAGTCTGACATCGTGCGTTACTGTAGCCAATCAGTAGCAAGCGACCTATCCGTGTAAACTGATGTCATTTTCAGCTGAGGCTGCTAGAAGTTCATTGTCATATCAGTTGATGAAGTATGGTGATTTAAGAGTTTGTAACAGCCTGTCAATCAAAATAAATACTTTATTCATTCCTCACAAGAACAATTAATAAAATCTCTCGGACTAGCTCAGTTCTTTCTCCAACGGTCCATCGATGAGCAAAACACCAACCGTATTTAAAATCACCGAAAAACAAGTGAACCAAAGGTCTGCAGCCGAGCTACTCACAAGTGAATCTTTGAAAGATGCGTATAAATCATGTTAACATTAGTAGCACATAACTGTTGTGGTACCAACTGAATGTGCGAATGCTGAAAACTAGCCTGGTTCTAGACGTCTGAATCCCCCCTACCTTTCAATTTGTTCAGCATTTCAAATAGGCCTGGTGTTGTGCACACTGACCGCTGTTTCCCCCGGTGGGAGAAGCTTTAAAAACTGTGGATTTTAATGGTTTACTTACAGTGGACACCATCAGGTTGGGTCAAATAGCTGCATCTTAAACTGAACTCTGGCTTTGAGATCACTGCTTAGAATGATCGTAAAGAGTTGCTCTATGGTGGGATCGCTGTTTGTACTGCACTGCAAATGCTGCTTGGGGAAGAAGTGAAAAAGAAATGGACTGTTCAAGCAAAGCAGAGCGGTGGATGTGTGGAAAAAAACAACCCTGTGCTGTAGAATGACTAATAAATGTACCTTGAAACTGACCTTTACTCCTCCTCTGATTCAGTTACTATAATTAATCCTGTTGAAGAACAAAGCAAATTATCTGAGTGTCTTTGTGAGTTAAATGCACACTACTGCAGTTTTATTCCATTTGCTAAATATAAGTATTGTGTAATTAATACAGCAGCTGTTCCAATCCATCTCTACCAACCAGCTAATTGGTTGGTTATGAATTATTCACCCACCGGGGGAACTGAGCAGCGTATAGAGCGTCTACCTACTGGAACTGGAGGGGAGACACCTTGATCATCTCTGGCTGCGTGTGAAACAGAGAACCTGGCCTGAGCCATCCATATAGTGTACCACACAGCTGCGCTAACGTGACAAATCAATGACATTCACACCAGCGATTTACAGTCTGTGCTGCTCAACAGTGACCGTTTTCAGAGAAGAAGCTAGAAAAATGGCACCTTACACGACCTGTTCTGCAGCAAAGAGCCAACAGATACAGTTGGAGGGCAGCCGGTGAGCACAGTGGAGCATTTAGCAGCTAAACAGACAGATTTTTGTAGTCAGGAGCCGGTGGAGACCAAAACAGAGCTATCAGAGAGAGAATGTTGGACTTCTATTCACACATGCATGAGGTGACACAAACACCCCTCCATGCAGCTCACTGTGGTGACCATCGAGCTCACTGTGGTGACCATCGACCTGACAACCTGCTTTCTGCAGCACAGTGCTGCACTGGGTGTTTCTGATATTTTGTATAGCAGGTAGGCTAAATATTAGAAACACTTTACAGTTCAACAGAACCACAAGCTACAGCAGAATGACCATGAGGTTGAATCAACACCTTTAAGCTACTCGAAAGAAAAAGGCTTTCTCCCAAAATGACTCATGAAATACTTAAAGATGACACACTGGTTGGATTTCATTTCACAAGCAGCCACTGATAAACATCAACTTGATGTTTCTAGACCTTAACAGACACTTTGGTGGAACAGCAGGGCCTATCAGGATCATCCAACCTTAAGGCCTAGAGAACGGGTCCAAACATGAACTCAGAGGACTTCTCCCTAAAAACAAACATGCAGAAGTGTGTGATGTCGCAGCTGCAGTGTGTGTGTGCGTGTGTGTGCGTGTGCGCGCGCGTGTGTATGTGTGTGTGTGTGTGTGTTAACCCATGAGCTGAATGTAGTGCGCGTGTGTGTGCGCGCGCGGGGACCGGACAGTGCAGTATCCCCGCTCTGCAGCCTCAGCAGAGCGGGCCCATGTGACAGATGGATGCTATAACGGAATTAGAGACAAGAAAAAATCACAAGGGCCCATTATCACCGAGCTCTCTCTGCCTGACAACAAGGATTAAAGGCACACCACCACCACCAGCAGCAGCAGCAGCAGCATCAACACCATCAGCACCATCACCATGAAAGCACATTCACTCTCTCCACATTCAGCAAAGCCGCATCCGCCAGAAACACCCGCACTTATTGGGCATTTCTCCGCTTCCCCTTTCAGAACACGCAGGGCTGATGTAAAAAAAATGTAAGCCAACATGATGTCAGCGAGGCAGGCGCGGTGATGCTGAGGAGAGTCCCCACAGCATCACCCGCATCTGAAGCTTTCAGAGGGGGGCTTCACTAAC